GGTGCCGTGGGCCGCGGGCCGCCCCGAGCCGGGCCGCGGGTGCCGGGGGGCCGCGGGGGCGCCCGGCTCATGGTGGTGAGGCGGGGGCTGACACGGCTGGGCGGCCGCGGCGTGGCCGCGGCGGTGGTCTCCGCGCCGCGGGGGGGAGCGGTGGGCTTGGAAAGGAAGAAGGGGTCCTGCCCCACGCCCTTGGCGTCCATCAGCTCGGTGGGGACGTACTCCTTGACGGAGCCCACCACGATCCACTTGAGCAGCATGAGGCTGAGCCCCAGACCGATGAAGCCGATGAAGAGGGGTACCACGCACAACCACGTCTGCGCCCACGGCGCCGCCCGCCAGCAGCCCCCCCGGCACCCCCGGCCGCGGCGCCCGGCCACCGCCCGCCGCCCCCAGCACCCCGCCGCTGCCCGCCTGGCCCACTGCGGCACACGCTACCTCCTCCTACAAGATCTACGTCCACGACTCGGCGCCGTCCTGGACCTTGTCTCCCTTCCAGGAGTCGACCACCACCACGCCGGAGGCCAGCACGACCCCCAAAACCCGTAAGTGATGCCGCCCGCCCGCGCCCTCGGGCCGCCCGGAGCGCGCGTCGCCCCGTCCGGACCCGGTGTCGGCCGAGCGGCGGCGGGGTCGGGTCGGTCCGGGGCGAGGCGCTGGTCGGGCGCGGCTGCCGTGTCGCTCCCGTGCGGTTGCTGCCCTGCGGGAGGGAGGCCGGAGAGCTGCGAAGTTTGCGCTTCTTTTTCCCTCCCCCGCTTGCGCCCCCACTCCCCCGGCAAGTTCCCTGCTTTTGTGATGGATGTTGAGGCAGGAGCAGCCATTTGAGGTGACTGGTTTTTCTTGTGGTTTTTAGGAAAGATGCAGATTCCCCCCCTTTTCCCTTCCAGGCTGGTCTGCGAAAGGTATTTAGGAGATGCTGGGAAGTATCTGAGCGAGAGGGATCGTTGATGACAGACCCAGAAGGGGCAGTGGGGAGAGTGGTCCTCGGGAGGTGCGGAGTGGGTTGTGCATGTGCTTGTCTGCTGGTGAGTTTGGTTTCCCGCACACTCGTCTCCCTTGAAATAGAGGAGAGCGGGCTCCGCAGGGATGCTCCCTCCGTCCCAGCGCCCGGCTTCTGAAGGAGCTGCCTCCAGCTCCGCCAGGAAGGAGCCCAGGGCACCCCGCGGATATGCAGACGCAGCCCAGCGCTTTGCCGGCTCCCGTGTGTAGCCTCAGCACCGTCTTGCCGTAACTGACTATTTTTTTTTTAAGCAGAGGAGGGGGCTAGTTCTCCGATTGATGCTTGGTGGCTGGTTCTTTCCGCCCTCCCGAGCACAAACTTAAGGATTCGGGTTAAATCCGAAAATTCATTTTGTCTCTGTGTATCAACTTTCAGCTTCTCATAAAGGTTACTTAGGACAAATGCAATCATTGCCAGAAGAACTTCTGTGTGGTGCTATTTAGTAAAGTGCTCAATTATACTGTGTTATAGTAATCTTCTGCTTTTTCTTGGATGCAGTGGAGGAAATGAAAAGCCGGGTGTCCTCCATTAACTCTTAGTTGCTGCTGCTAGGAACATCAGTTCAACTGAATGCTACCACCTGATCACTTCTACAGCCTAGCGTTCCCCTTTTGCGTGCTAATGTATGGCTATTCTGCTGGAGGATTTTGTTAGCAACTAATTTGAACTTTATTTTGTCTGTTAAATCTATTTGCTGATTAGCACTAGGGCAGAGAGTATAGGCAGAGCGAGCTGATCTTGTGAATTGACAAAATCGGGAGAAGAACAGCAAATTGGATATGAATGTGTGGGTGGGTGTGCAGGTGGCGGATGGCTGGGAATGATTACGAATAAAACTATCACTGAATCAGAAGAGCAAACAAGGCAGTAACTCGTTTCTCCTGTGTCTGCTACGGTAATTGACAGAAGCATCCCTTGCAGGTGTGTCTGAGCCTGCTTGGTCTGTAGGTACAACCTATGGAAGTCAGAAGTTACCAGAAGGAAAATCTTTTGTGGAGCTGAACCCAACCCATTTCACTGAGGAGTAGGGAGCTGTATAGGGCACTTCTTAGGAGCAAAACAGCAAAGGAAGCTAGATTTTCGACCTGTGTCTCTGTTTTCAATCCTTGTGTGAACCAGATATGTTACGTGGTGCTTCAAGCTGCTGTGACCTGTGTGCGTGTGGCTGGGCTTGCCAGGTGGGTTCTGTCACGGTTTAAGTGCTCACTTGCAATTTCTTACTTTCTCCTCTTTCTCTCTCTTTGGGTATGTAAGAGAAATCCACATTAATTTCTGCTCTTCTATGCTGTCTCCTTACAAAGTCTAGAAGGCAGGAATATCCTGATTAATAAATAATATTCAGCTGGCAGGACTCTCCTCCATGGCAGACACACCAAGGAAGACGAAAAACCACAATCTTGAAATGTTCCTGGCAGTTGCAGAGCCTCCTAACTATTTTTTGTTTTAGGGAGACTGCTAATACCTTTTACAGCAGGGTGTTTCCCTTCATTAAATGGAGCTCAGTTATAGGATGGAAATGCAAGAACTGCAAATCCAGCAGAAATTGACCCTGTTTGGGCACATTGATAGCAGAGATTATCATTAATGGAAGATTAAATAGATTACATAAAAAAGGATTTGAATTTGTAGGGCATGTGGACATTTTTTTAAAGCCTACAGCTGTACTCTCCAGATACATATAAGCATCTCTGAGGATACATGTAAAATTCTTTGAGGCTGCAGTATCCACTGGAGGGGAGAGAGAGGAGAAATGCAATCTTTTTGCTGTGAACTGCTGACATGGTGTGACCCCAAAGCAAGTATCTGCATCTGCCACTAACAGCTCTTAGTAAGAAAGGGAATTTTTTAAATCAAATTCATCCTAATTTCCCAGGTTGAGCTGCATGTTCCTTCTGTGCCCGTTGCTCCAGCTGCTATTGAAATGAAAGTCATGGATCCTGTTGTACCATGTGAATACAAAATCGGACATGATGAATCTCATGCCCCAGCTTTCAAAATAATGCACGCCCTTGTGTGATCCCCTGGCTTGGCAAGGCACATATGTGGGCAGGAGTCATAGGTTATTTAACATTTCACAGCTTTTAAGAAAAGAAGCAGCTGCTTGTATTTATACTGATTTGTGTTGCAGTTTATTTAATTGTTTTAACATGTTAAATGGGCTCAAAATAGGATTTAGGAAAATGGAAGGCAAATCAGGAGTTATTTCTCCAGAAAGCTGTATGATTGCCCACCTGAATGAATGTTGGTAAAGCCTTTTCTCTGTGTGTGTATTCATCTGAGGAGATGTTGTGAAATCTCTCTTTTTTGTGGGTGTGCATAATGACAATAATTCTTGGTTGTGTTTCACTCAAAGTCAAGCTATCTGTTAGCTGTTTTGAAAGTTCTTGATGAAGATCCTTCAGGTTCTGACTAAGCAAAAGCCACTTACTCATCAAATCTCACTCTGTATCTTGTGCCTGCATGTGTTTTCCATGATCATATAAGACTTATGGCTTTTCAGCATTAGCCTCTTCATCCAGTGCTCAGCATAAAAGTTAATCACTGATTTAGAAGGGTAGGCCAGCCTGTAGATCAGAAAAATCAACCAACTGACTGGAATATACCAGTGAGGTTTTATTTTTGTCAAGCCATTGGTTTAATTTTTAAAAAGTCATGCCCTGATTTTTCCAATATGCATTTTTCATGGTATTCTGGGTCCTTCAGTAATGTTATTATCTTTAAATTGAGATACTGGACTTATAAAGATTCCTGTGTGAATTCAGCTATGAAATAGCACTGTGGTTTCTCTCGTGTTCATATGACCAAAGGCTAATGCACAGAACTGAGGTCAGGCAGGTGGGACTCAACTAATGCATGGTAACCAAGAAAAGAGATGTTACAGAACACTCTAATCAATAAATCTTGTGAAGTCCAATTGCAGCCTTTTTTGGAGTCCAGACTTCATCCTGAGTATGCTTTGATTTCCTGCTAAAGATTTTCTGGTCCAGCCGTTTGTCCTAGTCATGTCTCTGACTGTTTGTTATGCACGGCATGGGTTCAAGTAACAAGCATCTGGCAGATGCACAGCTACCAGCACTGACATTTTGGTAAAAGCTGTTTGTTTTATTTTGCACTGACTCAAATATCTTTTTCACATTAAGGATGACACTTAGATGGAACTGCGGGGTTTTCACCAACTGGAGGGTGTTGTGGGAGGTGCCAAACCGTAGTAAAACCAGACCTACTCTTCCCAGAGCCCTAAAGCGTTCTGCCAACGAATGACACGTATCTGCGAACACTTCGCATTATGATCATGAGCTGTCATTGAAATCGAGGGGAGCACACGTGACTGGAAAGCACGTGCCTTTAGCATTAACTAAGATTAATATGCCAGTTATGTATCAATTTTAAGTATTTCAGAAGCTGCTGAATTGAAAAAAAAATACTGAGGCAAACAACTGGGAGTTTTAGGAGCACTGGCTTCTTATTTCCACTTACTTGCTGTTCACATACCTTCTGTCAGCATACCACAGAAATGATTAGATTTGTGTTTCCCATCTTAAATACTTGTCAACAGGAAGACTACCGTCAAGATAAAAATAACAGATACGGAATTGTAGCCACTCCACTGAAATGAAAATTATTGTAATTGTATTTTATTTTTTCACATTTTACAGCTATAACTTGCTTCATCTGTTTCAATTAAGTTGGATGACACTGGACTTAATTCCATTTTCCATTTATAATCTTCTTTCTAGTTAGGGACTAGTGCAGTTATCACTGAATTCATAGAAAAGTGGAATATTCAAGTAAGTCCCACTCAGATATGTACGTTGATTCTATTTGGATATATTTTACCTCTGTTGCTTTTATTAAAGTATTCATTGAAATCCTATGACCTAGGAAACTTTCATAGCACTGGCATGATGAGTGGAAGGGATATGGATGAAATTATTCCATGCTGATTTTTAACCCTGAAGAAACTTCTTTTGGGAACTGTATGGTTTCTCATTGATTTAACCTGTGATCACTGCTAAAAGCAAAGCCTTACATTTTATTTGGCATAAGTTTTTTACATCTATACAAAGACATTATGTGATATATTATATGTTGACAACAGAATACCATTATTAAATTAAAGTATTGATTCATTGCAAAGCCTTATGCTAAAGTAATGTCAACCCCACAGAAGTAATGTCTAAACCCACAGAAAATGGAAATTAAAAATTAAAGCAAAAGACCTGTCTCTATCTACAGTATTGTGTCTAGTGTTGCAGTACATTTATCATCTGACTCATTTCTTTGAAACCTCCTGCAAAGCCCAGTAAATACATGGATTGCCATGGATTTGACCTTGACTGTATCTTTAAATTTTATAGCCCATGTGGCTTTCAGAAGTACCTATAACATACTGGTGTTTGCTTTTGCTGATTTCTGTTGTGACTTGTACAGAAACAAACAGCACAAGGAAAAGTACCTGGTAAAATCTTATGGGACGAGTTGGTCACTTTTGTTTTTTTCTGAGCCTGGTGGTTTCTTTTTGAGCTTCTTTTTGGTTTGAACAGC